TGGACGTGTGAGGCGGGAACAGGGCGGGATCAGGGCGGGAACAGGGCGGAGGCGTTTCAAGCAGCAGAGCTAATCTTAAATATAGAGCTGCTGTTTCTGACCTTCAGCTCCACATTTACTTCGTCCGGAGGTGACGAGAGTCTCGGCTGCTCGTCTGTCACACGAATAACAAACACACATGTTGTTGGGTTTTTACACATTCAACAAATGGGATTCCAGTCTCTGTGGAGCTGAGCTAAGCTAAGCTAAGCTAAGCTAAGCTAAGCTAAGCTAAGCAGCTGCTGGCTGTAGATGTTCAATAGCACCAAATGTTCCAGGTGTCACATTATTTAATCAGACATCAGACGTGAGTTTCTCTGGTTTGGTTTCTCGTCTTCATCAGGTCGTTTGAACCTTTCCTGACAGTCCAGATGTTTCCAGCGGTGGAAGAAGTCCTCACATCTTTTACTCAAGTACCAAAACAACATTTCTGCATTCATGACCCTGTTTGAAGTGACACGTGCGTAGGAATACGTTGGTTCAACGGTGGAGAAAAAGTAGTTCCAAAGTAAAGGCTGCTGAAAACCTTCAAAATAAAACTTAAAAATAAATATTAAACACCTAAAGTGATATTGGCTTTTTTAAAACATGTTCTTGTGGGTGAATCCGTCCACAGCAGATATTCTAATTAAATATGGTTTTTAGTCATTAATCACTTTATTTTATTCACTTACTTTATTGTAACTATGGTGAAATTTTATTGTTTTATTTGTTCTATTATTAATTATGTTATCATAACTTTTTAAATCTATTTTATTGTGTCTCATTCTCAGATTTATTACTTTTCTTTTTAGATCATCAGTCTGAGAACTTTGTGTGCTGCACAATAACAGTTTGATTGATTAATTGATTGACTAAGATAAGTACCTCACACGACCTCACATCAAATAACCTGAACTCTCACTTTAATTAAAAGAACTGACGCGTCACCGACAAAAATCTCCTGTAAATATCAAAAATAAACTTGATTGTTCAGTAAAATCTGTGACGTATTGATTATCACATCATTAACCTGTTACATGCTCAGTTTGATAGTTCAGTCCAGTGGTTCCCAACCTCGGGGTCGGGCCGGATAAATGTGAGGGGTCGACAGAGGATCCATTAGAGAGGAGAGAAGAAGAAGAAACAAAGTTCAGATACAAGAATCTGTTTTTACTTATTGGACTTTTTTTCTTTTCTTTTCTTTTTTTTGTGAAACTTTTGATCATTTTAAATCTTGGGACTAAAAACAACATTTAAACGAGGAGAAAGTTTCTTTATAACGTCTCAACTGACAGATTTTTATAGTTTTAAGGTCACAAACCGAAAAGGTCGTGAATCATCAGTTGAATGTTTGACATGCTTCATATTTTCTAAATTCATCTTGTTTTTAATGTAAAATCTGCAGCGCTCTGATCAATGTGGCGATGGTTGAAATGGAAAGTTCCTCTGACTTGTATTTGAGTAAATGGACTCGTGCGCTCCACCTGTTCCCTCTGACCTTTCCAGGTGACAAGTGGCGACCACTCGGACGGCGTCGACCTCGGCGGTGCGAAGCGGCCGCGTGGGACTGACCCAGAAAGCCGAGACGCGGCGGCACAGATCTCATTCAGTTTCCGGGGGATTTTCAGCGCAGATTACAAAGGCTCTACCCCATTTGTTTTGTAACAAGCATGTGAAGTCAACACTAATACAAACGCCGCGGCTCTGAACTTCAAAATGCCAGGGGACCTTTTTAGAGGCTTAGGGCTGTTGAGCACATCCAACGCTCGGGGAGCAGAAGCCCCGTTAAGCTCCGAGGGCAAAGTACTTCTTTGATTGTTTGTTGAAAATCTCTTCCAAAAGCCACAGGACAAAAACGGAGGAGGATTATCCTCTGCTGAGAGGAAATGAAATTCTTCAGACGAGGCACTTACACAGGTTTCTGGATGAGTGACAGGGTCTGTGTGTGTGTGTGTGTGTGTGTGCGTGTGTGTGTTTACGACTTGTTAACTCATGACTCATTCAGCCAATTAAGCAAAGTGAAGGTCTGCAGCTAAGTGAAGGTCTGCAGCCTCCGTCAGGCACCAGGAAACAATCGTCTGTCCTGAGGAGGGCGCCACAGGAAAACGTCCTGCCGTCATCTGCGAACGCGACTTTCCACAAGTACAAGCGTTAACGTGAAGCTACAACAGCCTCCTCTGACTGCAGAGAGGAGGAGGAGGAGGAGGAGGAGGAGACGAAGAAGAAGGAAGAAGACGAAATAGCAGTAGAAGAAGCAGACGGAGGAGGAGAAGAAGTAGCAGAAGAAGAAGGAGGAGGAGGAGGAGAAGATGAAGAAGGAGGAGGAGGAGAGGAAGAAGAGGATGAAATGATGCAGGTTTAAAAATCAACCAATCAAACAAATCACTTACTGGAGATTTTCCAGTTTCCATGACGACTAAGTAAAATCCATCCCGGTGTGGAGGTCATGAGTTGTGACTGAGCGTTGGAGAAAATATCCGCAGAGTGAGGAAGTTATTTATGATGAACCTTTAAACCTAAAAACAGGAAGTGATTTACTGTGAAGCTTTGACTTCTCGTCATGTCTGGCGTTTCTGGAGCGACGCCCGTGATCGTCCACCTCGTTTCCCGACCGAGCTCCTGGGAAAACTCAGTCTCCCTCGGCGGGAAAAACTCGCCTCATCTTCTTCCCCTCGTTAGATTCGGAACAAACCCAGTGATCAATGAGTACTGGTCTGGAAAAATGAGGAACTTGAGCCTGTTAGTGTTTTTTGGAGACCAGGCGGGTCCCTCAGTAACGGGGTCAGGAGCCTGTTGGCCTCCTAACACGTAGCGACTGTGCGGCCCTCCAAGCTGTCTCCTCCCCTCAGCCTCACACGCCGTCCCGCGGCGCCGCTCAGTCATTTGAATATTTTCCGGGCTGATGAGGAAGCGAGGGCGGCCGACTGCGGGCCAACACAGGAACATGATGGCAGGGGACAAAATAATGACCAGACGCCGCAAAGTTGCTAAAGTGTGTCATACATTATTATGCAAGCGGGGAAGCATGTGGCGGGAACAGAACACAAGGAGGGGGGGGCACCGGGCCCAGATCTGACGCCGTTTCACTTCCTGTTTCTACTACTAATCAAAGATCATAGATTAAGATCTTAATCTATAAAAATACATCACAGTTTGTCATAAATTATATTTTGTATTAATCATTTGAATCTACAAAGTAAAACATCTAACTGAATATAATTATATTTATATACAGATATGAAGGTGGAAAAACACTTGACATTAAACATTAAACTTTCATGAAAGTAAAAGTAAATGCAGCAGCAGGAAAATGAACTCAGTTATAAAAAGAATTGTTTCATGTTCGTGTTTTGTAAAGAAATGTGTGCTCTCTAAATAAACCTTATTATTTCTATGAGCTGGTCTCATGTTTTGAATATAAAATCTAATGTAAATCTACAAAGTGACACAAGATAAAAAGCGACTTGTTGGTTTTGGTTTAATTTGTTCTTTTACTCTGAAACACATTTAATCTAGATTTAGTTTTATAACAACACACGGGTGCGAACAGGTAAAATCTCCCATGATCCTCGGGGGTTCATCACAGGAAGCAGCAGCAGATTTTGTTTTGATTTCACTGGGATCTCAGTTCTTTTCATTCAGTGATGAACGTACCTGCTTCCAGCTCTGTAAACGGAGACGTGCGGAGAGCATCATCTTTTACAGGTCAGAAGGTCGCCGGTTCACATCGGGATAGGAGAGGCGGTTTCCCATGATGCCTTGAGGGAGCGAGGGAAGCCTCATCACACACTAATGAGGATGTAGAGTGACTGCGGCTGGAGAAGCAGCTGCAGGAGTGAAGCTCTGAAAACAAACATCAGCTCTGAAAACTGAAGGACAGTTTAAGATTTAAACATTTCTCCCACTTTTTAATCCATCTATCACCGTGGCAACAGAGACCGAGTGAAGTCTGAGTTCATCTGATTCCTCTGAACGTCAGGGTGTGTAGAAATAAAATAAAACACCTAAAGTTAAAGTTTCCTTAAAATAAAAACAGTTGCACAAAAAACCTTTAAGTCTTTGTCTTCAAATGTTCACTCAAGTATTTAAAGTTTTCTCCTCATCTTAAACTTCAGGAATCAAGTTCACCTGGTGAAGTCCCCGTCAAAACAACGGCAGGGTGAGCTAACGGCAGCAAATCAACAGTCTCCACGGAAACAGTAGAATTTTACCGCTGTAAAATCTCTTCCACTGCTGTAAATTTCTTAACTTTTTTCCTTATCTAAGAGATTTTGTGCAACACCCTTAAGAAACTCCCTCAGCTGAGGGGAAACTAAACGTTAAGTGTCAGACTTAAGTAGAAAAGTTGAGGTGTTAAGGTGTGTCCTCTGCTGGTGCTCAGGAGTCCTGGTCCTAGTCCTGGTCCTGGTCCTGGTCCTGGTCCTGGAGTCACATTAATAAACAACTGAGACTGAAAACAGCAAATAAATAAACTTTGCAGCACAGACTCATTCTTTCGATTTCCAACAACTTCATCTGAGTCAAGAACAAACGATGAGAAAACTTTAATCACCACGTCGCTGCCGCTCCTTTAAATAAACGTACATGGAACATGAGTGTCACTCAGTTCTCTCTTTATCTCTTTATTATAAAGTTTTATATCTGATGGATTCGCTCTGATGCATCAACCTGAGGAAGGCACCAGAAACCAGAGGAGGGAAAACATTTTTAACAGAAGATTCAGGATCCGGTTCGTAGATTCTTTGTCATCATAGATCAAATCATTCATTTAATAATAAAAGAAATCTGCAAGTTACAGTATATAAATAATTGTTAGCTCAAACACTAAATGTTCTATTATGTGAATTTTCACAGGGACACAGTTTTGTTTTTCAAGCCTTGTGTTTATGTTTCACTGTTTGTGTCTCAGCAGCTTTAAATGTTAAAATGTTGAATTTTAACGTTTGTTTTGACAAATTTACCAGAGAAAATAAAAGCGGTCGTATTAAGCAAATTTAATTCAAATCAAGTGGAAGAAAAGCACAAATATGAGTTTTAGAAAATGAGTGTGGACGGCGGATGATGGACCAAAACCAGGAGCAAAGACTTTGATTTTCAAATTAAAAGAATCATGTTGTTTTGGTTTCATGTCTGAATCCAGTTTGATCCAATTCACTGATTTAAATTCAAGCGATTTTCTCTTTTCCCTCCTTCATCACTGAAACACTGCACACACTTCACCTCTGACCTTTGACCTCTTTGCCTACAGCTTGACCGTGAATCACTGGCCACATTTAAAATGTGAAGCTGGATTTTTAATTTGAAGGTTTTATTTCCTCTCTGGCTCCTCACACCGTTTATGTATTTTCAAAATAAAGGTCAAGGTATGCGGGTACGTTGCTTCTCTTATTGTCTCAGTCTCTCCTCATCCGACCACAGTTAATGATCCGCCTCTTGGTCCCAGCAGATAAACACGACATCGTTTCTGCTCTAAAGTCACATCTGACTCACGCTACAACATTTTACACCAGAACACACTCAGCTTCCTGTGACATCATCATGTTGCAGCGTCCGCCAAATATGTGAAGTGAGGTGAGGAGAAGCTCCACCTCTCCTCATGTTCTCAAGTGTCTGAAAGTGCCGGAACAGCTCTGGCCCGGTTCAGGTCCGTCAGGGTCGGTATTGTCTGTACTGTGAAGCCAGAGGGTTGCTGGTTCCAAACTGGAGCGGTGCCGTGGACCCTCCGAATGCAGTCCTGTAACTCTGAGACGAGGGCACGCCGCCCCCGCCCACACCCACACCCAGTCCCAACCCGGCCCCCAGACCCTGCACACCCAGTCCCAGCCCGCCGCCGGGCCGCGCCAAGCCCTGATTCAGCATCCCCGCGTAGGGAGACGCACCGTAGGCGAGTCCCAGGCCTCCGTAGGGCCTGTGGGCGTGGTGTCCCGGAGCGGGGAGGACCATCGGCTGCATGTTCCTCCCCGGGGTGTCGAAGGAGAACTCCGGAGGAGGGCTGCTGGGTTTGGAGGGCGTAGAGGTCAGCGGGTCCAGCTCTCCTCCCGAAAACAGCAGAGGAGGGAGAGCGGAGGAGGAGAGGGGGGCGTAGCCGTCGGCAGGGGGGCCGGAGGGGGAGGAGGAGGCGGAGAGCGTCCCGCTGAGGAGGGGCCTGGTCCAGTCGTCTTTAAAGATCTGGACCGTCAGCGTGGAGACGAGCGGCAGCAGCCGGTTGGTGACGTGAGCCAGAACCAGCTGCTCGTTGGCGTCACGGCGGATACGAACATGAGCAGAGCCGGCCTGAAACGAAGGGGGGTGGGGGGTGGGGGGGGTGGGAAGAATGTAATAAGTAAAACAGGATTTTACATTTGGATTCTCCAGATACAAAAAACTCAAAAATGTCAGACAAGACAGGAGCAGGTGGTGGCGCTGTGGAGGACGCAGTGACTCGGTATCAGGAAGTGAGCACGGGCCGGGGCTAGCTGTTAGCATGCTAACTTCAGTAGAAGAAAAGAAAGCAAAATTTACCAAATAGCTCTTTTCAATAGAATGAAATGCTAATTAATTGACTTTAAGATTTTCATATCTGCAGACTTGTTTGTGTGTGTGATGACGAAGATGAAAACAAAATCAGTCAAATAATAAAATGTTATTTTTTTTGTAGTTTTTAATCAAACAAACTGAAGGAAACGGTGCATTTGCTGGGGACTATTTTCAGCAGCGGATTAATCCAGATTGGGTGCTGTAGTGACTATTTGGGGAGGCAGGACGGTGTGTGTGTGTGTGTGTGTGTGTGTGTTCATGGTGATGACGTGATGTGTTGTGGATAGTTTCTGTCACAGTGGAGCTCTGTGGCTCAGACAGAACTTATTACACTAACAGGTGCTGCTGGGTTCGATATAAAACTCACTGTCCTGCATTTTGTGGAGACGATGCGGCTTCTTCAGCCTCGAACAGCTGATTACATAAACATGAGGATGACTGAAGGTATCACTGCACCTCAGCACTCAACCTTTAACTTCTCAGTCTGACCTTAAACACAAACACAGGCTGCACTGTGTCCTTGTTTCCTAATTTTACCGCCCTCATGGGGATGTTCAGTCCTCAAAAGGACAGACTGTGTACACACACACACACACACACACACACACACACACACACACACACACACACAGACACACAGAGCAAGTCCCCCCGTGGGGCAGAAGTGCAGTCAGAGGGTCAAATCAGTTTGGACAGCTGCTCTGTTAGCAGTGGGCCAACAACCAACAGTTGTGTAACAGCAGCAACATCAGTGTCAACAACAACAACAACAACAACAACAACAACAACAACAACAACAACAACAACAACAGGAGCAGCGGCATCAATGACATAAATAAAAACAAGTATAAAAGCAGCATCAGCGCCGAGATGAACAGAGGACGCTGCTCCACCTGGAGGTGACAGGAAGTAACATACTGACACACACACAGACACATACACACATACGCACGCACACACACACACACACACACACACACACACACATATACGCATGCACACACACACACACTCTTGAGTGAGGATGATATTTTGTTTTGATGTTGATCAACACTTTCACAACACAAGGTAAATACATATAAACATGTAAAATCAGTTCTGCCAGATTAATGAGCGTCGTCAGAGTCGGGGGGATTCAGATGTGAGGATGACGGAGGTTTTGTCGGTTTGTGCGTCCCGCTGCTCGTGACGTCTGACGTGTGTGTTCACATTAGACTTGACGACACACAGGTGATGCAGCTTCACAGTCTGTTCACTCTCAGAGAGATATTTATTTATAGGAACTGTTTGTATTGTTTATATTTTTCTATTTATTCTTTTCTATAATATTTCTTCACATTTTATTGTAAATATTGTATTATTATCGCCTCAGACCTGCCGACCAATCACTGCCCTCCGTCCCGCACAGCCAGGTAGAGGTGATCGAGGACTTTCAGTCTCTTTTCTTTTACCTCTCGACCGTCGTCATGACAACACGAATGACGTCACTTGTTTGTTTTTAACTTGCTGTTTTTCGCTGCTGCGTTTTTGATTTTCTCCAGATGTTCTTTGCTTTTATTCATTTACTTCTATCGTCTTATTTCTGTTTTTATCGGATCATTTCTGTGTTTTTGTTCGATTGTGATCTTCAATAAAATAATCCCACAGTTGAACCTGCGTGAAGCTCCGTGAATGAAATGACTACTCAAACAAAATGGTGAACGAGGCGTGATGTCAGACACACACCTGGAGACAGTCTCTCCTGCTCCCCACTTTAAATATGATAAAAAACATTTACTTATTTACTTTAATTGTTTGAACATCAGTGATGAACACAGCTACTTAGTGATGGAAGTGTGTGTGTACATCCTGTTACAGACACATGACACAGGAAGTGGTTCTTCCTCGAGACACACAGATGTTTGTGTGTGTGTGTGTGTGTGTGTGTGTGTGTGTGTGTGTGTGTGTGTGTGTGTGTGTGTGTGTGTGTGTGTATTTCCCAGGACCTCAGCCGCCCTGAAAGCCAGCTGGGCTTGTTTGCCGTCACTACGACAAAATGCAACAAACAGACGACGACTACAACAACAACTCAACACGGAAGACGACAACGACAACAACAACAACAACAACAACAACAACAACAACAACAACAACAGCAGCAGCGTTCCCTCCAAAAATTGGAGACACACAGAGCGAGAGAGAGAGAGAGAGAGAGAGAGAGAGAGAATCTATTCGCATGAATGACTCGTTCCTTCTTCTCGTCTGAGTGAACAAATCTCTGCAGATCGTCGCCACGAAGCCACGACTGACAGAGAGACGGGGGATCGAGGGGAGAAGGGGGGGGGGGAGACAAACAAAACAAACAAACTAACAAGAGGGAGAGGGAGGGGGGGAGGATGTAACAAAGGTGTGAAGATGGAGAGAGAGGACGAGGTGGACAGACATGGAGAGACACTGCAGCAGGTGAGTTATCCAACAGGTAAACCGCTTCTTCACTGTTCTTCAATGAGCTGATTCCTGAGACTTTGTTGCTGCTGTGAAAAAACACACGTCACAAAGAACCGGAGGAACTTTTACTCCTGGGAAAATTCACCGATGTCGAGTCGATGTGGGGAAATTAAAGTTTAAACTTTTGTTGGAAAGGCCCATAAAAAGAAACTGAAGAAAATAAATCACTGCCTGCGACATCTACATTCAATCAGGGCAGTAATTCATTAGATTCAGCTAATTAGTCGGATCGTTACTGACTGTTTGCATCAGATTTTACTTCTTCACCTCTTTAACACTTATCTAAAAACAGCTGATTCAAGCCGGACTTCCATCTAAACGTACCAGCGAGCCGAAGCCGACGGTCCAGAAGTGCTCGTTGCGAACCTCCAGCACTCCGTCCAGAGTCGACACCTGATTGGACACAAACGGGAACAAGTGGCCAATAAGAATCTGCCGTAAACCTTTAATATGTCATATATTGTTTCACTACATTCAGGAGTCAGAACGTTTATAAACCCTGTAAATCTCAGCACTGAAGAATCTGACAAGAGATTTTTATCCTTCACATCCTTCAATTTTCATTAAAAAACAAAGTAATCTCATGTATTTTATTAAGGTTTGTATTAAAGTCACTCACCTCTCTCAGCAGTTTGTCCAGCTGACCAATGACGTGAGAGGGCGTGGTCTGACGACAGGTGACGACAGGAAATTAATAACTGCACTTCTTAAAAAGCTCTGATGTTAATATTATTGTCGTTTCACAAACAGCTTCGTCTCACCTGCAGCAGAACTTTCCCGCTGTACACGCTCATGGGATACATGGTGCCGAAGGTCATGAGAGCGATGGCGACGGCCGACGCTGTGTCCACCGCATTGTAGTTACTGAGAACACACACACACACACACACACACACACACACACACACAGGAAAGAGGGTAAATACATAAGACATGAGGTGTTTAAATAAGGTTTAAAAAAGAAAGGAAACAGATCCGACACTGAGACTGTTCTGACTCTGGGTTTTGTTGAACTGGAGGAAATGTTTCGCTCGTCCAGACTCTGATTTAATGACCGAGTGACGCTGTTGTACAAATCTGACTGACGTCCACATATTTCTGCTGAAGCATTTTGTTGTTTTCCATCATTTAAATGAGAGTAAATCTTGGACTTTCGGGGGGGGAACTCCCTCAGTTTTATCATCAGCATCAATCTTGATGATTCAGGGAGCGAGACCGATTCACCGCCGCTGCTCTTTTTCCGTCTGACGTCAGGACACGAAGATAAAGATCAGGACAGTTTGAATTTTCCAGCTGGGATGGAAACGTGACATCACCGGAGCCGGGAGAGAAGCAGCAGCAGCCGTCGAGGGTGAAACGTTTGGTGCTGGTGCATTCTGGGAGAGACATTAATACTTACTTGATTTCTATGAGCATGTAGGTGATGCAGAGGGACAGAGCTCCCGCCATGTTGATCAGGACGAACGGGTTCATACGAGGCAGGAGCACGCTGCTGAGACCTGGGATGATACCACACAAACTACACACACACACACACACACACACACACACACACACACACACACACACAAACAAAAGAGAAACCAGATTACTCACGATCACCTTCAGATTTCAGCTTCAGCAGATATCAACATTTAATCAAATTACAATTAAATTAAAAATATTTTCATAGAGATATTCTGCTAAAAAATATAGAAAATAATAATAATAATAAAACACAAAATAGTTTTAGTCTAACCTAAGCAACATGTTATTACCAAAGACATAAAAACATTTCAGGAAAAATGCCTGATGTTTATTTAATTATCACCAACGACTTAATAAATAACCATCAACTAAAACATTAAAGTTCAGACTCCTTCAGGGAAGATTTAATATGTTCAGAGATTTTAAACTAATATGTCCTTTACTTTTAGCTGGGTGTTCCTAATAAACTGAGCAGATGTTTGTATTGTAGTTTTAGTCTGTGGTGCAGGAGGCTCAGCTGCTGTTGTTGTTGTTGTTGTTGTTGTTGTTGTTGTTGGTCTGGTGGTGGATCATTTATGTTTATAACTACTTCAGTTTTGAATTCAACAGCAAGATTTCTATTATTTTCTACTTTACTTGAAGTCGAACCGTCTCTCAGACTCAGACTGCGTCTCCTGAGGTTTCAGTCTGAGCTGAACTCGTCTCAGTGATGAATCCCCGTGTTTGTTTGTCTTCAGGATTAGGTCTTTAACCCGATCACACCGCTATAATGGACTTTAGAGGCTCAAACTGGAGCTGATGGGATCAGTGTTGTTTTGCTGGTCCAACCAAACTCTTCCACTCCTGCCTGAGAGAAAAGTATTTATCTCTGAGAGGGATCAATACTTCCTCGTTTTCTCAGTCGTCAATGATGATAAACTCATTATGTTTGAGTTGTGGACTGTTGTTTGGACAAAACAAACTTAAAAAACTTAATCTGGATGTAAAGAAATTATCAGATGATATTTTACAGAATAAACAATTAATAAAGAAAAGAAACTGGTCTAATAATCAATTATTTAGATAATGGATTAATCATTTGATTGATTTCAAGCAGAAATGCCTCAAATCTCTTTTATCTGTTGATCGTACAAAACGTTTGAAGTTTGTCAAACAGACATTTTTCATAATTTTCAAACATTTTACAAACAAAAAAAATAAACGATAAATTAAGAAAAACAATCAGCGGCTTGATCAATCAGCGGATTGATCGATAATGAAAAGAAGTTAAAGTTTTTTTGTTTTTTTTTTCAGCTTCATTATGGATAACCAACATTTTTATCATTATTATTTGGTGAAGCAAGATAAAGACAAAGAAAGTGATAATATAAGACATAAGATAATGTAACATGATGGTTTAATACACGACTCCAGAGAACAACTGAAGGCTTTCCTTATCGTACAGATTTAGATATATATCTACATATGTATTTATATGACTTATATATATTTGTATTTATTGAGGGAGAGAGAAATAGAGAAATAAATTTATAGAAAATAAATGAGGTATTAATTTATTGTATTTTTTTATTACCTTTTTTTGTTACTTAATTTAAATCTGTTTTAATTCTGTTATATTTATAATATTACAGTTTGTGTCGTCTCAAGTGTTAATATTCTGTCACAACGACTCCTGTCCTCTTATCATGGTGGAGGGTTTATTCAACAAAGGTCAAAGGTCAGGCTGGTCTGCAGAGTGACACCTGTGGAGCTGCTGGATGTTCATCATGAAATGTAAAATCTGACATGTTTTAATGTGATGTGAACACGTCGTGATGCAACATGAAGACGTGACATTGGGACGGAGTCACGGTGACGTGGTGTGATGTGACGTGACGTGACGTGATGTGATGTGACGTGACGTGACGTGATGTGATGTGATGTGATGTGGCGTAACGTGACGTGACGTAATATGGCGTGGCGTGGCATGACGTGGCGTGACGTAATGTGGCGTGGCGTGACGTGGCGTGGCGTGACGTGGCGTGACGTGGCGTGACGTGGCGTGANTTTGGGACGGAGTCACGGTGACGTGGTGTGACGTGGTGTGATGTGATGTGACGTGACGTGACGTGACGTGGCGTGACGTAACGTGATGTAATGTGGCGTGACGTGACGTAATATGGCGTGGCGTGGCGTGGCATGACGTGGCGTGACGTAATGTGGCATGGCGTGATGTGGCGTGACGTGGCGTAACGTGGCGTGGCGTGACGTGACGTGGCGGCCGCGTGCTCGGACTGCGGAGCAGATTTAATCAGCGGGACCCGGCTGCTGTTAGTTTCACTGAGCGACAAACTTGAAGAGACAGAAACACTTTTACAACCAGTATATTAATCTGTGATCTAGAGGAATCATGGGAAGGATTTAGTTTCCATGGAGACTGACTCCTAATCTCGAGCGGGGGTTTGTAAGTGTCAAAACACCAGCACCACATCTGACAATGTGTGGAAACAGAACGGTGATGATGTGCATCAGTCAGGATTCACCACTTCATGTTTCCTGCATCAAGCCTCCAGAAAAGACTTTAACACATTCACGTCGTGATGATGCAACTACTTCAACTATTTTTCGATCTATATCTCTGATACAGATGTTTATTATTTTGCACTTAAAGAATCACCACAGTCCTTTCAAACATAGAAACTTCTGCATCAGAGACAAACTGCAGCCTGTTAAAATATTTATTTTCCACAATCTTCACTTTCTAATACTGATGCACTAATCCGCCTTAAGAACAGGCAGATTTTAGATGTGAATATATGATCATCCTGCTTAAGATATACAATGTTTGCTGAGCCTTAAACCAACTCATCAAAAAACTAGAACCTCTCCCCTCAGACTAGTTTCAGGTTGCATCCCTCACACACACCGCACACACAAACCCAAATACAACATGGCTGCCGCTCTGAGGAATAAAATTCGTTTTTAAATTTTTTTTTATGATAATCTGACAATCAGAGTAATTGAATTTCTATTTAACTTCTAATTTAGTCTCTAATAACTAACATCAGCTGTTTTCTGTTGGTAACGAGGTGATTTTGCTCAAACTAATCAGCAGTGAGTGACGATCCATTTAAAGCAGTTAAATCACAGTTTCATGCCCTTTGAAGAAATAGAAAACACTAATACAAAGTTTGTTATTTCTGTCGGTCAGCTAACAGCTCTCTGCACAGATGTGTCTACGCCACAAACCAAATTTAACTTCCTGTGGCACAAGAAAATAAATGATCTCCATCCATTAATCTCCATTCTGAATGTAAAAAGTTCATGTTTTCAACCAGGAAAACGTCTTTGAGTCTAACTACTGGTGTGTTTAAGGATTTATCCTCCAGCTTTCACTTCATATTAACATCTTTAATATTAATGTTTAATTCATTCCTAATAGCCAATCATTAACTACCAATGCTACCAACATGTTATTATGTTGTTTCTGTACATTCTCTCATTGGGATTCACCTGAACAAATAAAGTGCAAACGAAACGAGACCATCTAGTTTTCTCAGATTAGATATTTGGGATCGGGATTTGACAAACATATAATTCAATAACAGGATGATTGAAAAGTTTCAACTGAAGTTTGGTTAAAACTGCATCTTCTTCCATTAGTAAGTGACATGATTAAACCCTCTTCTGCCCGGCAGGGAGGCCGGAGCAGCACACCGGCTGATTCCCCCCCGAAACCCCAAACAGAGGCGACCCCAGGTGCACTCTGGGTATCACGCCCTGCTCCGTCGGCTCCTGGAACCAATTAACGGTCAATGAGCGGTCTGTCCAGACAGATCGGCCCCGCGCTGCGTGTCAGATTGAACGTCCAATACGTCAAAGGCCCGGCGCTCCGGAGCCGCCGCGGTCAACGGCGTCGAGCTCTGTCACAAACATGAAGAGCAGCTACGACGGCTCGGCGCCGCGAGGTACGAGTCATTAGATAATGTTCAGAAACTACAACAGTGACATGGATGTCAACACGTAATTAACGTCTCACATGTCAGAGTCACGCGCTCGCCACGGGCAGGAAGTGAAAAGTGTAAAGAAGGAGAAGAAGAACGAGGACCACGTGACTTCACCTGGTTAAATAAAGGAAAGTGAAAGTGAGATTATTATTAGTGAGAGTCAGACAGCAGAGACAGACAGAGATGGTGATGTCATCAGAGACAGACAGAAGTGGTGATGTCATCAGAGACACGTCGGCCGGGACTGTTACTGGGATATCACATGTAATGATTCACTGCTGGACACTGGGCTCCCCTCACCACACGCACACACCCCCATACACACTGGGTATTATTGTAAATACTGGCAGCATTATCTTTTATTGATTTGTCTAATTAGAGACGTGTAAATACAAATTATTTCCTTTATTTATCTAAACCTGAATGACAAAACTGAGACAATAAAACACAAAACTATAGAAGAAGGAAAGAGACAGAGGGAAACAGAAAGACAGAAAAAAAGGAAGAAAGAAACGGAGGAAAAAATTAGGACAGAAAGAAAAAAGAAAGAAAGAAAAAGAAAGAAAGAAAGAAAGAAAGAGACGAGACACAGAGAGTGGAGGATGAGATTGGCGATCCCATAATCCTCCACTGATGCATTGATATAATTTGACATGTGACCTTGTGTGTGTGTGTGTGTGTGTGTGTGTGTGTTAATCCAGACACGTTGCAGACAGAGAGCGAGGGATTAAAGCTGAGAGCAAACAAACACTTGATACTGTGTTGGCTCCACACTGAGGAACACACTCTGAAAACATCATCTGAAACATATTCACATTAAACTGATTTAAACATTTTATCAACTTCATCATTTAGAATCAGCTGCTGGAGGTAAAACTAAACATGAGAGAATTAAATTCTGTTTATAGTGAACGGTCGTCTGTGGGAGTAGAAACCACCTGACTGAGTTACTGAGACGTGTGTGTGTGTGTGTGTGTGTGTGTGTGTGTGTGTGTGTGTGTGCTACAGTGGGAACTTCAAATGGAAAGGTTTCATTTTCCTGCCAGGCTGTTTATTATTAAAACCTTTCTCCTCGCAGCAGCAGAGCTTCAGATCGTGGGAGGAAAAACCACTGAAATGTAAATAACCTGCATCTACATCAGATACTGACACCTGACTAGCCTCTTAATTAAGACAAAACAATATAACTCCTGTATAAATCACCTGATAATTAAGATGAAAAGATAATAGATTTAATTTCCTGTGAAGAATCAGGATTTGATAAGAATCCAAATCTGCAAATTTCTCTCTCGGTCATACACTTTTTCTTTCTTTCTTTTTTTTTTTTTAAATATCTGTCTCTCTTCTCCCCACTGGCAACTTTCACTCACACACACACACACACACACACACACACACACACACACACACAGCTCAGGCTTCTGGCTGGTGAGGCTGACAGAGCAGCAGGCTTTATATAACCCAGACCCTGCTGAGGTTAAGTGGGGACAGGTCATTACAACACAGACAGTAACACACACACACACACACACACACACACACACACACACACACACACAAGGAAACACACACTGGAAAATGTGCACACACACACATACAGGCTTCTGCAAGACGCACACACAGAATGCTTGTATAAAGGCATACAGAGCAGCTCTCTCTCTCTCTCACACACACACACACACACACACACACACACACACACACACACACACACACAAAGAGTGGAAACTAGGCTGGGACGTCCTGTTCATTTCTGCCCTCTCAGCCAATCACAACTCAGTCCTGCTGCACAACTCTCCAGGCTGTCTCCCCGAAGTAACCTGCACCAACTGAGCTGCTGACTCTGTGTGTGTGTGTGTGTGTGTGTGTGTGTGTGTGTGTGTGTGTGTGTGTGTGTGTGTGTGTGCATGTCGTAGAGTTGTGGAAACACACAGCGGGATGTAATATTCATCACAACAGTCGACACCGAGCATCAGTCTGCTCTGGAGTCGGTCTATAGGTTACCATGGCAACATAAAGGAAGAAGTACAGGTCCTAGTCTGGATCTGGTCTTATAGAAGGACCTCGGTCAAAATGTAGTTTTCAGGACTGAATTAATTTAATTAATATTGAACTTGTAAAGTTTTGTTTAATCAAAATGTTTTAATTCTAAATATTAAAAGTTATTAACAGACAGGAAACTTTACTCCATCACAAGAGGAACTGAAAAACTGCAGCCAACGACAGAATTAAAGAGATATTCAGTTCTCAGTTTCAACTTCCAACCTCAAATATCAGAAACTGGATCTCATCAGGATCTCTGCGTCCTGCCTGAGGGACAGTATCAACTATTCACTGAACAGCACGGATCAGTTAGAACCGCTGATCAATACGTCTAAGGTCTTCTGATTGTATCAAGGACCAATTAGGACTATTTTCTGCTTTTATTTATTTATTTTTACTAATTATGAATGTGGCCGTGGTCATGTGACTTATATTCAGCATCACTGTGACTGATGTTGCAGAGTCTGGTCTTGTGAGGTTGTTCCCACGCTGTCCTGTTTGTTTGTTTGTGTGTTTGTCTCTTAATGTTCTGGTTAAGAAAACAGACGCAATGACAGTTCGCCATTAATATTCTGCGTCTGCTTGTTCCAGGTTTTCACACTATTCTACAGTAAATTCTGCCAAATGTCCACAAATAAACTCTAATCCAGACGTCTTTTACATTTTGTACATTATTATATAAAATCTTCTCCAGATTCTGCTGCTGGTTTCTTTGGTAAATAATATTAAAATAATAAATCTTTGGGCCTGATCGATGCTCGTCATTTCAGCATGAGTTTAAACTGACGGAGCAGCTGGAGGATGCAACCAACAATTATTGTGATTATCAGTTAATCTGCAGATTATTTTCTTGATTAATCATTTATGGTTCAGTTTGTGAGAGGTAAGAAAATAAAGTGACTTCATTAAATGTCTGGTTTTGTCAAACAACAGTTAAAAATCCCCAAATATCTATCTACCTATCTACCTATCTACCTATCTACCTATCTATCTATCTATCTACCTATCTATCTACCTATCTATCTATGAGAAATAAAACCAGCAAATATTCACACTGGAGAATCTGGAGACTGAATAACTGACTCTTTAAAGATTTAAGTGATTATTAAAAGTAATGTGTATTTTTGTCGATCTATTAATCATTTTATAGTTTCAGCTCTGTGTTCTGTGTCTGTGGAGTGGAAGTTAGAAACTGTAAAACAAGCTGCCCAAGACGATGTGATGGGTTTGATTTAAATCAGCAAAGACAACAACACAGCTGCGGCAGATCGATTATTATTGATCAATTATTAAAAATAATCCTGAAAGAAAACAGTGTAGATAAAACCTGGAGCTTGTTTGGTTCTAAAAACAAAAAAAAGGATCCCAGACTTAAAAATAATCCTAAACAACAGGAGTGTTACTGACACACACACACACACACACACAGACACACACACACACAGACACACACACACACACTTCTGAGAGGTGATCACTGAACTATGGATAAAGTGTAGTTTTACCAGAAGATCACTCTGATATCAGGGCTGCAGTTACAGTGACCTGTGACCTACGACCCTTGAACTCAGATCATGCAGCGGAGGTGTGTGTGTGTGTGTGTGTGTGTGTGTGTGTGTGTGTGTGTGTGTGTGTGTGTGTGTGTGTGTGTGCATGTTTGTGTTGTCACTGTACTCAACAAGAAAACTGATCTTACAGCTGCTTCTCAGAAGCTCAATCAATGAGCCAATCTGTTTGCCTGCAGCGGCACTCAGGCCCCGCCCCCTGACCCTGTGACCTCATGCTTCCCCATGTTGACCGAGGGTAACCTTTGACCTCTGTGGAGGACCATATGTGCCTGTGCATACACACACACACACACACACACACACCTGGACACACAGATGTGTCAGCAATAACTCAGACAATGGACAGCCTCAGGAGTGTGTGTGTGTGTGTGTGTGTGTGTGTGTGTGTGTGTGTGTGTGTGTGTGTGTGTGTGTTGACTTGGTGTAAGTGGATCCTTCCTGTTTGTACCTGCTGATGAAGGAGAGAGAGAGCGACAGAAAAACAGAGCAAGAGGAAACACGAGAGGTTTTTACCTTCGACTCAGATCTGCGACATGTTCCTGAAGCCAACTGCTGCTGGCCGCTGGAGAGAGAGAGGGAGGGAGAGAGAGAGAGAGGGAGAGAGGGAGAGAGAGGGAGATGCTGTTAATGTACAACATATCTAATACAATACAACAACAACACAGACGCAATCTTTTGACAAAACTCGAGGTTTCTATCTCCGTCATATCTGCAACTCCAGTTTTCTGAGGGGACTGTGAACGCAGCACAGAGCTCCAGGGACAGAGAACAGGTGGACAGGTTAGTGCCTGTGTTATAAAGTCCTGAAGAAGAGACCGACCAGCAAAAAGCATCTCCATTTCATTATCTGATTAACACCTATGATTATCATGAGGTCGGCTGCTGCTGCTGTTAAAAGTGACAACTTTATTAGAGGTGAGGGTGTGTGGTGATAATGGCCAAAAACACCCAGGGATCCTGACATCCACTACTCATGATAATAAATGTGCGGGACCATGACGTTTGGTTTGTTCCATTTCTTCTTTTCTGGATTTCTTACCGTAGTACGGTAGTTTGCAACCTGTGGGCCGGGGCCCAATAGTGGGCCAACAAGGTATTGCAAGTGAGCTGACAAATCGTTTGCAAAGCAGTAAAAATTTTGTGAAAAGATGTAATCATAAAAAATTATTTAATAAAAAACTAAAATATAAATAATGGTTTTTGAATGTTTTGAAAATAAATTCTCTTTAAAAAAAAAAAAAAAAAAAACTTAAGCCAATGATAGGAACTTTTATGGTGTCGCCGGGCAGACCACATCGTATACTTGTTTCCTGTCTCGTTCTGGTTCAATCCTGAATGTTCCACCATTATCATTAAAAGACAAAGAGCTCTGAGAAGTCATTATTGGGTCAAATGTGCCCGAGATTTTTAAGTGGGCCATGAGTTGGAAAGAGTTGGGGACCACTACCCTGGTAAGTATGAATCTGGTTATTTGATGATAATTTGATCTGCCAAATGAAACCTTTTGACCATTAAGATGCTGACGGCGGTTAATTATTGAATAACAACAAATATGTGAAGCAGCAGCTACAAATGCTGATGATGGAGAAAACAGAGAGATGAGGCTGAACAGTGCAGATACATGTGAGCTCACTATTTGGCAGGCCACTGTTGCCCTATTTATCTAATGTGTTATAGCAGCTTATACATGATTTATAAAGTGTTAGCAAGCTAATTAATAACCTAATTATTAGTGTTATTGTAAAGTGCTACCAACATCAGAAACAATTCAATTAAGGTTGAAGCTGCAACTATTAATTATTTCTTCCATCACTGGATTAATTGTTTATTCTATGAAACGCGAGAAAATAGTGAGAAACGTCTTCAAATCAACACGACACACGTCGACACACAACTTCACCTGGTGCTATTCCTTTTGTTTGTTTTTTGTTATACTTATATATTTAAATCTATTAATTAAACTAATTTAAACATATTATATTATTCATCTTTTATAAGTCTTTGATATTCTCATTTTGCAGTTTTTCTTTCTTCATACTGTCACTTTGCTGCTGTGGGGTAATAAAGGAATATTTTTTCTTATCTTACATTTTCACAGAGATGAACTAAAGAAGCTGGAAGAAGGAAACGTTTGTCAGGATTGTCATTGCTGCCGATCACTTCGATCAACTTATTGATTGTCTCAGCTGTGGTGAAGCTAACGTTGTATAAGACGCGTGTGCTCGTCGTCTTCTCTGGAGGATAGTCTGACATGAAGCGGGAGCTCTGTGGCTTCAGATGGAGACAGGAACAGGAAACATCTTTCTAGTTCAACGCTGCGTTAAATATTTAGACTCACAGCTGTTCGATTTTACAGATGACTCCATCAACTCCGTCCTATAGGTTCAAACTTTGCGCAGGTTCCACATCTTCTGTTTTTCTCAGCTCACAATCTGATTAAACTCAACAGCTGAGACAAACAGGAAGCAGTCGTCATCTCTGTCATGATGAGCGACAAAAATACTTTTTTTTTTTTTGCTCAGAGAGGGTGGGGTTGGGCTGGGGTGGGGTGGAGGGGCACGGATCGCCCACTCGTCTTTAAAAAAAGATAAGCGTTCTCGCTCCGCTGCGCCGCCCCACCTTTAATGTTTGACGACACTGCGAAGCCCGAAGGCTCTGCATCGGGTCAAAGGCCCTTCACATCTCATCCTGCTCAGACCTGAGCGTGTGTGTGTGTGTGCGTGTGTGTGTGTGTGTGTGTGTGTGTGTGTGTGTGTGTGTGTGTGTTTTGTTTGTTTTGCTAGCAGGGTGAGTCAGTCTAAACAAACATTTTAATGGAGTGACTTATTTATGATCCGTGTGTACGAGGAGGGCGTACAATGTTTGTGAGCGTAAGTACAAGTATGTGTGTGTGTGTGTGTGTGTGGTGTGTGTGTATGTGTGTGTGTGTGGTGTGGTGTGTGTGTGTGTGGTGTGTGGTGTGTGTTGGCATGTCTCTCTGCCCGCCTGGCCCCCTGGCACACTACATTACCACTGTCTGGAACATGGTTGCATAATGCACTTTTAGTCTCGCTCCATCAGAGAGAGAGAGAGAGTGTGTGTGTGTGTGTGTGTGTAATGAGTGAGAGATATTGTGTGTTTTTGCAAAGTTAAGTGCCTGTGTGTGTTTGCGTGTGTGTAGTTTCATCCCCCTCCCCATCCCAAAATGTCAGATGTTAAGTGATGTTGAGACTGCTCCGAACGAAAGAGCAGACAGCTGACACACACACACACACACACACACTCACACACACACACACACTCACACACACACACACACTCACACACACACACACACTCACACACACACACTGACCTCATTCACCAGTAGACTGTTCATACAGATAGTGAGTCAGCCTGAGAGGAGAGGAGAGGAAACAAGGAGAGGAGAGGAGAGGAGAGGGAACAAGGAGAGGAGAGGAGAGGAAACAAGGAGAGGAAAGGAGAGGAGAGGGAACAAGGAGAGGAGAGGAGAGGAAACAAGGAGAGGAAATGAGAGGAGAGGGAACAAGGAGAGGAGAGGAGAGAGGAGAGGAAGTGAGGCAAGGTTAGGTGAGGAGATGAACAGAGGAGAGGAGGTAAGGAGTGGAGATGAGGAGGGGAGAGGAAACAAGGAGAGATGGGGTGAGGACATGAAGAGAGGTGAAGAGAGGAGAGGAAGTGAGGTGAGGTGAGGAGATGAAGATAGGAGAGGAGGGGAGGAGAGGAGAGACAGGGATGTGAGGTCACTCCTGTCTGACCTAAAGGAAATATCTGTTTATCTGTTTACTGTGTATTTGTATTTGACTGTGCACACAGGTGCAAATGAGTGAGTGTATGTGTGTGTGTGTGTGTGTGTGTGTGTGTGTGTGTGTGTGTGTGTGTGTGTGTGTGTTCCAGTCTGTCTGTATTAGCAGTAGACTGAGTCTCAGTGAGGTTAATATGTCCCGGGGTCGACACTGGCCTGGCCTCTACGCATGCGTGTGTGTGTGGGTGTGTGTGTGTGTGTGTGTGTGTGTGTGTGTGTGTGTGTGACCTATAACTTGTGGGTCTCCACTGTCTTCCACATGAATGCTGTGTGTCTTTGTGTTTGCATATAAAGTCAGTACAGAGTGTGAGTTTCTGTGATGTGAAGTGTATGTAAAGTGTTTATCTGTGTGTGTGTGTGTGTGTGTGTGTGTGTGTGTGTGTGTGTGTGTGTGTGTGTGTGTGTGTGTGTGTTTGTTATTGTTCTATATTTGTGAGGATTTGGAACAAAGAGGTTGAGAAACTCTTTCCCACCTGTTGTTCAGACTCTCCAGTTCATTTTCCACCATTTTTAACATTTTATAAACAAAACAATTATTAATTTTCAGTAACAACATTTGTTTGGAGCGTGACAGGGACGTGGATCTGTGTCATATGTGCTGCCATATGTTTGCATCATATCTGCTTTGAAGCCGTCTTACGTCTCGACTCATAAATAAAAAAAAAACATAATCTTTGGAAAACAATTTGAAAAACACACACTGTCGTATTTTAAGAGTTTGGTTTTATGACTTAGTGATTTCTGCAATTAGGAAGGGACTAACCTCTGATCCCACTGCTGCCATTTGTGATTTATCCACTAACAAAAACAGTGAGCCAGCATTTTAATTTTACATCAGTAATCCCCCAAAATATAACAAAAGCCAAAATGTCCCTGTTCCCCCGTGTGGGCGAGGATTAACAAACCTCCACCGTCCAGAGGAGAAACCCAAAACACACAAAAACACTAAGTCCACGCTGCCTCTGGAAAACTAATCAGGTGCCCTGGTGTCTCTGTGGGAAGCTGCATGTGTCTGCCCAGAACAACCAGTGGGATGAACTGGTCTGGGGGGGTGTGTGTGTGTGCGTGTGTGTGTGTGTGTGTGTGTGTGGGGTGGGGGGGTACCTTCAGAGACGTAGGCGAACGGTTTGTTCCTCACAGACAGGAGAGTCAACAGGTTGAAGAACAGAGCGACGAACGTCCCGACCAGCAGACGACCGCTGCAGAGAGAGAGAGAGAGGGAGAGACAGAGAGAGAGAGAGAGGGAGAGACAGAGAGAGAGAGAGAGGGAGAGACAGAGAGAGAGAGAGAGGGAGAGACAGAGAGAGAGAGAGAGGGAGAGAGAAAAACAGGTGATGAGTGTGTCAATCAGACCTAATGTGAACTTGTGACCTGTGCGACACATACCAAACCAGATGATGTCAAACTGCTCACTGGCCACTTTATTAGGTACACCTGTACAGGTCAGTTAAGGAGTAGACTGAGCTCATAGTGCTGGGTGTTTATAATAATACTTTATATTTTGTGATCTTGAGCATGAGCATGTGCGAGCTGGTGTAAACAGGAAGTAGATCGTCTACTCTGCAGTTGGTTAGTTGCAAAAAAAGTTGTGAAAATGAAGATCCTGATCGTGATGTTCCTGCTGATGATGTGTTTCATTTTGTAGTAATTTATAATAAATGATGACTCCGCCATCTCTGAACTATTATTAATGTACGTCTCCTGTGTGTCTCAAGTCCTGCTTTTGTCCTCAATGGAAAGAACTCATCATTAGATTACAGAGGGCCGTCAGCGTGTTTAAAACTCATTATCTTACAGTCGGAGGAGTCAGGCGCAGAGTCTACCAAGGCATCTCAGGTCACAGTGTTGTGAGCTGAACACACCAAATGTAGAAAACTGCACTAATTAAAACTGAAGCTCGTGTGTTTCATCAGACGGACTCGAGACGGCCGATCAAAGACGCGTCTGAAACGTTTCCGACGCCGGTTACATCACGTTTCCGCCTCAGCAGCCGGATTATTCCTTGTTACTAAACCGTGTCTCTCTCCCGCTCACTTGATAAACAACCGACCAAAGACGCTTCGTGCAGGAACTGGATCTGAGGCGGGAAGGATTCATCCATTCACCTGCTGCAGAAGTTACTGAGTTTATAATCCAGACAAACTCAACGGGCTGAAGGACTTGAACCTGACTGTCAGGTGGAGACATGTCACTTCATCACAAAGGGCCGAGTCCTCGGTGGAGAATCACTGACGGTGTTACGCAATAATTATTATTTATCATTTATATTTAATAATATTTTTTCTGTTTTCATTTTTGTATAAAAAGTAGTTTCAGGACTCGAAACGTTCGTCGTCTTTCTTATTCATCTTTTAAATAAAGCTTGTGGATATATAATACAGATCTCTGCTCACGAGCACAAAAAGCACACACACACACACACACACACACACACACAACACCACACACACACAAACACCACACACACACACACACTACGTGTACTCTTCAATACACTAATCACACGGGACAATCCTTTTAAGAGCCTACAAATTGGTCCAAACAAATCAGCGGCGGGGGAAGAGCCCCGCCACAATAACTGGATGATAAACCCCCTGACCCCCGCACCCCCCCACCCTCAAACCCCTCCACCCCCTTGCCCCCCAAAGAACAGATTAAAGAGAGAAGAGAGCAGAGAGCAGAGAGAGAGATGTCTGTAGCGTCTGTCTCTCTACCAGCAAGACACCTGTCCCTCTGGTTAGCGGCCATCCTCTCTGCCGTCCAATCACATCCATTCCACCAGAAGAGAGAGAGAGAGAGAGAGAGAGAGAGAGAGAGAGAGAGACCGAAGGGGGGGAGAGGAAGAAGGGGGGGTAATCTCGTCACAGGAGACAGGTGTTAAGTTCCCTGTGTTTTAGGTTATAAAGCCGCTGTTAATCTGTTTTATAATGGGGAGGAGAGAGATAGAGAGAGAGAGAGAGAAGAGACGAGAGAGAGAGACGAAGAGAGAGAGAGAGAGAGGGAGTGAACTCGTCCATCACAGGTGAACGACGCGTCCACCGCTTCAGGAGTCGAGGTTGTTTACGTGAACTCTGAGCGCCGACAGGAAGTAGTTCCAGGAAGGAGAGACGCCATGCGGAGCCTCGTGTTGAATATTATTTAAGTTCAAGATTCCTGGAAACTTTTCTGTGAAACAAAGAGTTCCTGTAACTTTAACAGGTGTGTTTCACTTCAGCTGCTGTCACCCCGAGGCCAGTGTTTGTTTTTAATTAGCCTCTTGCTGTTGGTGGGACACCCCCGACACACCACACACACACACACACACACAACACCACACACACACACACACACACACACACACACACACACACAGTCACTGACACTCTGTGTGTATATGTGTGTGTGTGTGTGTGTGTGTGCTGTGTGTGTTGTGTGTGGTGTGGTGTGTGTCGTGTGTGTGTGTGTGTGTGTGTGTTCTGTCTGATCCAGTTGTTTGGATGTTCTGTTCCGACAACAGCTGGCACTGTCTGTGTGTGTGTGTGGTGTGTGTTTTTACACAGGGAGACAGAGGAGTGTATCATGTTGTTGTGTCTGTCTATTCTTCGAGTCTGATTAGGAATTGTGTGTGTGTGTGTGTGTGTGTGTGTGTGTGTGTTGTGGAGCGCGGTAATACTTACGTATGGACCTCAGGCTGCTCCATTGAAGCGCTCCACACTAACAAAACAGAAACAAACAGTCAGAGTGGGTCCCACCTGACCAGTGTTGTTGACTGAGTGTGTGTGTGTGTGTGTGTGTGGTGTGTTGTGTGTGTATGTGTGTGCTGTGATGTGTGAGTGAGCTGAGAGAGAAGGATCGAGACAACATGAAATGAATGAAAAGAGACAAGGAGCGAACAAACAGAGAGAGAAAACACAGGAAATATCAACACACACACCACACACACACACACACACATCTTGTCTGTTTCCTCTGTGCTGCTGCCTATGTGCATTATACATGCACTGTCTGTATGGCTGGCAACCTCCGTGTGTGTATGTGTGTGTGTTGTGGTGTGTGTGTGTGTGTGTATTAAGTGTTGTGGGCTGTAGTGTGTGTGTGTGTGTGTGTGTGTGTGTGTTGTCCCACTCACGCAGAGAAATGCGAAAACAAAGACAAGCAGCCAGAGGGGGACAAATGTTCACTTTAATACTTTTGTCTTCAGGGTTTCTGCAGGTTCACAGAATATTATTTAACGTCGTTCGTCATGGTTACGTGAAGAAAAAACAGCAGGAAACTGAGACCTACAATTATTTACTACACTAATTAACTGATATCCAGGAGCAATAAGTCAAATTAATAAGTCGATCAGTGACTTCGACCGTCAGGAAATAAATTAATCGTCAAAGATATTTAATGAAGCTGAATCAACATTCACTGAGAATCTTTGCTTTTGCTTTTTGATCGAGCACCTGAACACATCACCAACTCTGCCGAAACTGTGATGGACCTTCTTCCACTATTCTCTGACCAAATGACAACGATCGATTGATCAGCAAATTACTCCATGATGGAAATAATCATTGATTCAGCCTGAAATAATATAATTCACATCATTATATATGATGTCATATATTGTCCAGCCTCAACACTTACAGCTAATCGTGTTAAAACAGAATTTGATTACACCTTCATACAACTGACAATAAGCAATAAAAAATGTATTTTTAATATTAGTAAATGATCAATAAAGTCTGTTGTAGTTGCTGTTTGTGTTTTTAATCCTCCTCCATGTTTAAAGTGTGTTCAAGTCACTTAACAACATCCCTCTTCTATTCTCTCCTT